GCACTCAGCTGGGCCTGGAGTCTCCTTGTCAAACACCTTTGGCAGACCTGCATCTTCCTCAATCATGGCTCATCTGATTCACACCCAATATCAGACTTTAATGAGACACTCCAAAAGAGCCCCAGGACAAATGGTATCAGGGGAGACCTTGGGCTGATCAAGTAGGTGGTGTCACAGCCAAAGAGCTCTACCAGGAACCTCAGGAGAAATGAAGGAAGGCCTCTAGCACATTGGGACAACCCCTTCTGAGAAGCTTATGGGAGGACCTGCCCAAGAATCCCAGGGGATAGGCAGCATGTATGAGTTGCTATCTGCACCATTAGAAAGAATCTAAAAATTGAGATCAAATATCCATTTCAGGATTTAATTGGAGAATCTTGTTGTTGCAAAGCACCATATTCATTTTTAGATATATACCTCCCCCAATCAGCAAATCTTGTAAGACAGGTGAAAAAAGAAAAAAAGAAGACAATTCTGCAAAGGGAAACAGTTGTGTCTGACAGTATAAGCAATATTCTATACCCATAGTCACCCACATCTGCATTGAAAGGAAGGAAGCACATTTTATTTTTCATCCTTCTCTGGGGCCAAGCTCGGTGATTGCAATTACTTTTGTCTTCCTATGCTTTCAGCTTATCTTGGTGGGGCTATTGAGTATATTGTTGTCCTGGTTCTCTGTGGATATTGTATTTCCCTCTTCTATATCAGTTGATATGTGTGTGTTCCATGTTTCTCTGAAATCTCAGGTTTGGCTCCTTTCTAGGATTTCTCCAAGATTGAAATGTATTCTTTTCAATACGGAATAGTTATTTATTTTCTATACACAAAAAGAAAACACAAAAAGTTCTCATAGAAACACATTAACCAAGAATTAATAACAAGTTTTATTTTTCCAAAGAATGATTCTTTTTTTGGCAAGGCATTTGGGGTTCAGTGACCTGCCCAGGGTCACACAGCCTAAGTGTCAAGTGTCTGGTCTGAGACCAGATTTGAACTGAGGTCCTCCTGACTCCAGGGCCAGTGCTCTATGCACTGGGCCACCTAGCTGCCCCAAGATTTTTAAAAAGCAAAACATAAAGCACTTTGTAAGATTGCCAAAGAGACATTTTACATTTCACCTCAGCTCTGAACTGTCCAAACATTCTTGTGTTTTATGGAAAATCAGGCCAGATTGTGGGCTCATCATCTTGTGCCTTCTCCAATGTAGAATATATACTCCAACGTAGAGTATAGAGATTCCCCTTGCCACAGTGAGCTCTGAGCAAATGACCCAAGATCTTGCATCCACAAGGTTGCCTCCAAGACTGGACACATCCATCTCATTGTTATCTATGCCTACAAACAGGCGTAGAAACATAAAGCTAAAGAGCACCCAGAGGGCCAGGCTCAAGCTCACCTACATGAGCTGTCCTTACTCAAGGTGTGTGAAAGGAGGAGTTACACCTCCAGGGTTAGCCTCAAATAATAATAATTATGATATGATTTCCATATGGAAAAAAAGAGAGAGAGGGAGAGAGGGAGGAAGAGAGAGGAAGAGAGAGAGAGAGAGAGAGAAGAGAGAGAGAGAGAGAGAGAGAGAGAGTCATTCCCTTTTAAAAATCCACTAAGTCATCAGTTCTTCCAGCTTCATAGCCAAAGTGGAGATTATTTCATCATTCCCAAAGCTCCCATGTCCTTCAGCACTGACCTGAAGCAGACAGGGAAGTTCTGTGCATTTTTGAAGGCTTCTGTTATTTACACCCATTATCTCTTCATCTTGGGTTGGAAAGGTTTGTGGGAAAGAATTTCTCTGACATCTTGCTTATCACAATCCTCCTCTATTTGACAGAAGAGGATGCTGAGGGGTTAATCTAGAGGGGTTAATCTCCTTAACCAAGGTCACACAGGTAGGAAGGGCTTGAGCTTGCACTCGACTCTAGGTCCTCTGACTCTCCACAAGCCATGGTGAGATGAGGAACCCAAGGATTTGAGAAGGAATAAATATTTTTCATGATATTTCTCTATGATAGTTCTTAACATCAGATGGTGAAAATCTCATTGGTTTTGTATATCACTCAGATGGGGAATTGGGGGAAGGCTGAGGTGATTTTAAAAGGACCATGGTAAGGCAGTACAAAAAACTAATCTAGTTTAATCTTTCACAAGACTAGAGCAAAGTAGGACATGATGTTACAAAATGTAGTTTAATGAATAAGACAGGCAAACATCGGAGGTAGATTAGGATGAAAACCCTGGCATTATACTAGGTTCATGTGATATTTGACTATGTCAAAGTCCAGACCACCCACTTTGTAGCCAAAGGTCAAAGTAAGGGGATTTTAGTTCTTTAACCTTTCCTTTGTAATGTGCTTTTGAAAAATGAATCAGAACTCAAATAGTATCAAAGTATTAATCATTAAGTATTATACAATTAACATGTTATTCCCATTTGTTAAAGAGAGAAAATATTTCACTAACTTTCATCTGCCCTTGGCCCTAACATCTTTATATCACCTCTTTCATCCAGCAAATTAAATCAAAGATATTTCTTTCCTAAACTGGATCCTGGCTCATATCTGAGAGATAAATGATGCAACATTGCCCTCTGCAGGTTATTACTACAGCAGCAATTGTTTTCTGTTTTAATCCCGATTTTCCAAGTCTGTCTCTCTTTCTCTGTCTGTGTCTGTGTCTCTGTCTGTGTTTGTCTCTGTCCCTCTCTCTCTGTTTCTCTCTTTCTCCTTCTTCTTCCTCTCTGCCTTTGTCTCTCTGTCACTCTTATTCTGTCTCTCTTTGTCTCTATTTTGTCTATCTCTCTTATTCTGTCTCTGTCTCTATTTTGTTTCACTGTCTCTGCCTTTCTCTCTGTGTCTTTATCTCTGTGTCTTTTTCTTTCCCTCTAGCTCACAAATACACACACACACATACACACACACATATATAAATACACATATCCAAAAGGCTAAGACCACTTGTAGTCACACTTGATTTTGAAACATAAACTAATTTCTTTCCTCACAGCACTCTGTCTTCACAGAGAACTAGAAATGAATTCCTGTGTGCTTTTTCTGGAGAAAAAAATTTATATCAAATACAACATAGGTATTTTCATTAGTGGTTAGATAGGGACTAGACCAGCAATTTCTGGGGTTTGATTCAAAAAAATGCAAACACAGACATACATATATATTGGTTTTGTATGTGCATATTTTTATATGTGTACATATATGTGATAAATATAAATACATCATGTTCTGTGTATATATATGCATATGTATATGCATATATATATGGTATACACACACACACACACACACATATGTATTTGGAACTACACTAAATCTTTCTGACAGAATGTAATTTTGTAGTATTATTACCTATATTTGAATGTTTTACTCAATTTTGAACGCACCGTATATAAATAGTACACACGAAATGAGCATATGAAGTTCCTACCTTCTCTCTGAACCTTTGCTTTCAAACATCAGTGAGACTGTGGCTAACAGAATACCTCTGTCCTACGTTTGTGAATTGTGTTTTCCTCGTGAAGGATGGGGATGTGATTTCATTAATATAGAGACCTTTCTGATAAGGAAACTCCCTTTATCAATGAAGGTCAATAAAGTTCTTTAGTTCTAGATACTAATAGTTAAGTGATTTGGTCAAGGTCATAAGACCAATATCTGTCAAAGGTGAGACTATGTACTCAATGCCACCTCTCTTATTCATGAACATTATTTTAAAGTGAATTTTATTTTATTTTAAGAAAATTTATTTTTTTAAGAAAAAAGAAAAACCCTTAAATAAAATAATAGTTTAGGGGGAAAAAAAAGCAACCTGAAAAACTGGCCAGCCAGTGAAATGAGGGATCTTAGTCCCTTTGGGAAATTGACAAATTTCCCAAACTTCTGTCTTCCTCAGTTTCCTCAGCTGTAAAATGGGGGTATAACAGCACTCATGTCACAGGGGTATTATGAGGATCAGATGAGATAATATTTGTCAAGCTCAACACCTGATATAAAGTAGGTACTTAATAACCGGTGCTTCCTTTCTTCCTATACTTCCACTATTCCTTAGTCTGTCTTTTGTGGGAATTCAGAATGAGTCTGCTTCTTCCTCCATATGATAGTCCCATAAATTTTGAAGAGAGCTATCTTATCTCCCCTTAATCTCCTCTTTTTCATGTGTAATGTTTTATCTCTTACAAGGCTTAAAGAAATGAATAAGTAAATAAATAAATGGAATTCCCTGCCTTCTTTGGCCTCTTGGTACTTTGAGGGATGTTTGAAATATTTCTTTGTGACCCTTTGACTTTACCAGGGTGCAAGATAATGTTTTGTTTTGTTTTGTTATAAAGGGAGCTTTGTTATCCTCCTAGTTAATGTAGTTGTCACTTGCTTATGTTACTGCCTTATTTATCAAGCACCATTCCCAAAAGGAACCTCCCCTTGCCTTTACATTTTACAACCTAGGCAGCATTTTATGAGCCTTAAGAAGAGTCAAGATCTGGATAGTAGAACAGCACCTATCACAGGTGAACAGCACTTTGCCCTAGGGTGCTGATTTTCCATAGGGCAAAGCCTTCTTCCTTCCCACTTACACACCTATCCCCATGTCTCACCTTGGAGTCCTCCAGCATGGCTCTATGACTTAAACACATACCAATGGGGATGGGATATCTTCTTTCCCAGAGCAATTCCACCTGCTGTCACACTGTTCCTCTGTGACTCTTCCACATACTCCTCTCAACTGAATGCTTTCCTGGGGGACAAATCCTATCTCTGCTAGTCAGAAATTCTGAATTCCCTTCAGTGAATAAATAGTATTGTTGCCTTTCTAGAGCAGAGCTCCTTTAATTTTTTTCACTCACGACCCTTCCAGCACTTCTTAAACTGTGGGCTCTGCCTCCATATGGAGTTGTGACCCACAGTTTAAAAACACCACCATTTTATATATCTATGGGGTATATCAGAATCATAAAGAAAGGGAAATGTAAGATTCTCTTGTTTCTGTTTTTGCAGGGCGTGATTATGAAAAATCTAAAGTCTGCAGGGAATTCAAAAGTCTGGGGAAAGATGACTTCCAATCTTTGTAAGTATATCAGGGCATACTTACTTACACACCCTGTCTGCTCTAACAAGGGTAGGTTGATTCAGTCAGAGATAGAGCTTTAGGGTCGGTCCAATGGATCAAGTGGTCACATCCAGAAATAATTTAAAGACAACAGAATACCCCTGTTTTCCCCAAATTATCATCTCTATTTTTAGCCCATATGGCCTGAAATTCCCACCTTAGATGACCGCGGCAGAACATTGACTCAAGATGGTCAATGGTAAAGTATCCTTTGGGAATAGACTCTGATTCCAGATTAGTTACTGGTTTGACCCTTTGGGCCCTGAAGAAAATTATATTCAGGAAATAAAAATGATGGCAGGAGGAGAAGGAAGAAGTAGTTAGAAGCAACAAGCTTTGAGTTTGGGGGTAGGGATGGAAGGAGACAGAGGATGGGCAAAGAAGCTCTAAAGAAAAGAAAGAAGAGCTAAATTTTTTCCCCTAATATATCTTGACCTAAAACAGGAAATAATTTGAAGTAGTCTAGCATTCCTTACTTAAGCCACAAGGCAGGCAATTCTGGGTAAAACTATTACATAGATTTTTTTCACAGGTTTATTTCAACATGATTTATTGTAAGTGAAAGAAAAATTTTATTTGATAGTGTATAATCTGAGATTTCCTCCTCTTTGTTCCCCAGATCATTTGTCCTGTACAGCAGAAAATTTCCCAGTGGCACCTTTGAACAGGTCACAGCCTTAGTGGATGAAGTTGTCTCCTTGACAGAGAAGTGTTGTGCTGAGAATGCTGACCCCAACTGCTATGACACAAGGGTAGGTCTAGGTGACTGCATGGGGCTGTTAGGGCCTGCCCCCAAAACAAGGCCAATAGAGCATGAGGTGAGCAAACACAAGGGCCTAACATGGCAGGGAGGACGCACAGCACAGCAGGCCTATGTAGCGTTGGTGTGAAGGCGCCGTGAAGTCCAAAAGCCCCAGAGCTCAGGGTGGTTTGAAGAATAAGCAGGTCATTCCAAAGGAGGGGGGCCATTCTGGTAAAGTAGGGCTGGTCCCAAATCAGCCCAAGGATATGTCACAGAAGCAGAGAGCTTCAGAGTCAGAAGGAACCCAAGGATCCAGCTACTCCAGCCCATATCAGATGAGTGGTCAAGAGGTCATTCTGCATTTGTTTCAAAACAGACAGTATACATAGATTAGATAGGTAAATAAGATAGATAGATAAGATAGAAGTGGATAGATAAACAGATGGACAGATAAGATAGACAGATGGACAGATAAGATAGATGGATAGATAAGATAGATCAGACAGATAAGATAGACAGATAGATAAATACACACATAGATACATAGATGGATGGATGGATAGCTAGATGGATAGATAGAGAGGAATATATATGCATATACATATGCATGTGCATATGTATGTGCATTAATATATGCATCAATATGATACAGATCAAGAGAGAAAAAAGAGAAGAGACAGAGGGGGAAGGAGGGGGGAGAGAGGGTCAGACAGACATGCAGAGAGACAGCTATACTTAAAAACCCCCTTGATCTGGCTGTCCCTACTAGCTCAGTCCCTGTACCTCTCCTTTCTTTTATGGTTAACCTCCATCTCTCCTCTCTTTCTCTTCTCACTTCTCTACAATTTGACTTCCAAACTTTATCATTCCACTGAACCTCTTCTCTCCAGAGTTACCAATGACTTCTTAATCATCACACCTAATGCCCTGGTCTCAATCCACATCCTTCTTGACCTCTCTGCACCATTCTGCCCTCCGTGTATTTTATTCTCTGACATCAGCCTTCTTATTGGTCCTTGCACACGCCAACACTGCATCTCCCAGTTCCATTCTTTTTCATTGACTATATCCCAGTCTAAGACATTCTCCCTCTTCATCTCTGCCTTCCAGGTTTCCTAGATTCAAGGATCATCTCGAATTCCACCTTCTGAAAGTAGAATTTTGCCTTTCCTCATTCCCATCTGCCCTTCCTTCAGAGATTATCTCCCATTTACACAGTATCTATCCTGTGCATGCATTATTGTTTGCATGTTTTTGCCCTAATTATAATATAAACTTCTTGAGAGCAGGGATTGTGTTGTTTGTTTGTTTTTTTTGAGGTGGTGCAAAGGGGTTGCCTTTCTTGGTATCCCCAGCACTAAGAATAGTGAATAGCACATAAAGCTTAATAAATGTTTGCTCTCTGGTTACCTGGAAAAACAGCCAGAATTTAATAAGGAGAAAGAGAATAAGTTTTATACACACACATATATATGTGTATATGCACGTATGTGTATATACATATACCCATACACACATGTGTGTTATGTATATGTGTCTATATGTATGTACATATATACACACAAATATATATTATGTATGTGTATACACATATGCATGACCCCTTCTTTTTCCTTCTGGATTCAAAGCACTTTTAGAAAGGTATTGGCTTTTTTTTCTTTTTCTGGCTTTCATTAGGACTTGTTGGGCAGCATAAAGGTAAGGAAGAAATATAGCAGTATAACAGGAAGAAGTTAAAAGGAGAAGCAGAGAGTGAAAAGATATCAGTGTTAGGAGAAGTGAGAAAATGCAAAAGACCAGACACTTGAAGCTTATATATGATTTTCCTACTTCTGAATAAATGATTACTAATATAATCAAATTTTAAATTATGTCAGTTAATGAGTACAACTGAAAATTGAAGCTATTTGCTGTTTGGGAAGTTTAAAAAAATAAACAAATATTAATGGGAAAATCTTGAAAGATTCATGCATAAGAGTTGTGGGACAGTGATGAGCAGACGTGTTCAAACACTCCTATTTGCCCCACTTACTCTACTACTGATTCATTGCCCAGCTAGGTTTCCCAGTTTCAACATTTGTTCTCTGCTCTGGGAAAGTTGTATCAAATGATCTGTAATTGTTTCTGTCTTGTATAGCTCTGAGTACCCAGTCGGAGATAATGTCCTGGTAAAACACCTCACCGTTAGATCTCTCTCTCTCTCTCCCTCTTCTCCTGTGATTCTCTCCATTTATTTGCCCTTTTCACCTAGACTACCAAAAGCCTGCAGTTAGAACTATTTGTTAAAAAGAAATGCCAAATATTTCAAACAAGGAATGTTAAATAGATATTACTAAACCCTGAAGAAAAGGCTTCCATGAGCAACCTAAGGGAAGAAAAAATTATCACCCTGGGGCCTTAGTCCAGGGGGATTTCAGCACTCTCTTTCCCCACACTGCTCATGCCCAAGCAGTCTCTCTGCCAGAGCTCTGCTCCTTTTCTTTGCAGTGGCTACTTTTGTCCATGCTGCGAGGTTTTCAGCTCCCCCTAGCTTCTTGTAGTTTCCCTTTCTCTTGCTCCATGAACCTTTAAAAGAGGTGGACTCCCTTTTGAGCCTCTTTCCTGGACTTATTGAACTGATCTTTAAAGGCCACTTGAAGGCACAGTCCATTATTTTTCATCTTTTGTTATTTTCTTTCTGGTTCACTCAAGACACTACTACATAGCCCATAAAAGTATCCCCCCAGAATGATGCATTTTTGTTATCAGATCTCTTTTCTGTGATTAGGTCTGTAAAAGACCAAGCCCCTTAACTGTGAATCTGCTTTCTACTAATTAAAATAAACACCAAAACCAATCCAAGATAAAATATCTGTAAGCAAGGAAGAAAAATTAATAAAATTTTTAGCATATCACACTTTTTTATCATTGTCAGAAAATATTGAGCTCAAATGTGTTTTGAAATTCAATCACATTTTCTTCTACTAAGGAGTCAAAGGGAGAGGAGAAATATTGCTTGGACAAAATATACCAGCAAAAATCCTGCTGGAAATATCACCCTCATCCCCATCACCAGAGAGTTATTAACTGCTAAGGTTAACTGGGAAAAGATGTATGTGCATTTTCTAGTCATTTACAATTTGCTGTGAATTATATCAATCATATTATGAAATAGTTTTCTCCCTGAGAACTACTTCAAAACAAAAATGGGAGTTTAGAAGTAGAAAAGGCAAAAGATAATTGGAAAGCCTTGAGTTTTTGTCATTGCTATGGTTAATTATATGGACAGTTTTTCTAATATTGAACAAGCCGTACATTCTTGATATAAATCCCACCTGGTCATAGTGTATGATTAGTACTTTGTATTTCAAAGGCTATTATGAGTAAAGTGGGGGGTTTTTGGAACCCTTAAAGCATTGTAAAAATGTGAATTATTATCCTACATACCATTAAATGTCGATATTTGGCTTGGAGTGATGAAATGTGTTTACAATATACTAGGACCATAAGACAGTAGGATTTAGAGATAGAGGGGACTTTTAACATTACTTACTTCATGCTCTTTCATTTTATTATACTTTTTTTTACATCAGAATTATCCAAAGATTTACTCTACTACTGTTCGGGAAAGTTGGCAATAATAACTTAGCCTTTTTTTCCTGTTTCTAAAACAGACTTCAGAATTGGCTACCAAGTCCTGTGAAAATGATGCTCCATTTCCTAAACACCCAGACACTGACAAGTGCTGCACCCAAGAAGGTCTTGAACGAAAACTCTGCATGGCAGCTCTCACACACCCTCCCCAAGAGTTCCCAACCTACCTGGAGCCATCAAACACAGAAATATGTGACTCCTTCAAGATGGACCCCAGGGCTTTGCCAACAAGTAACTTCCTTCCCAACTGATTTGATTTACATATATATGGACACATGTGTGTTCACACATATATAGCACATATGTGTGTGTGCACATTGTGTATAGATATATACATGTGTGTATTATGTATGTGGTTGTGTGTGTGTGTTACAACTGTGCAGGATCCTTCGGCCAAAATGAAATTTTATACTATAGTTCCCTATTTTTGAACAGTTTATTCAACTTTGTACTCCCTACACATAAAGAGCACATAGATTTTCTTTCTTCTCTCTAATATTATGAATCCAATGATAATTGATCATGTTAATAGGATGCTCCTGCCCTACATTTGTGAACTTTGTTTTCCTCAAAGAAGATAGAGGTAGGGACTGGACCTTTGATTTCATTGGTATAGGGAACCCCCAAATAAGGAAACTCCCTCTTCCCATGCAGGGAAGACACTTCTCTATGTCTTAAAGATTGCCTAGAGCACTTAAGAGGTTAAGTGACTCATCCAGGGTCACATAGCCAATATGTGTAAGAGGTGGGGCTTCAACTAAGTAAGGTCTTCTTATCTCCAAGGCTAGCTATTTGGCCATGCTGTGGCATTCTTGAAAGTTTTGCATAAATTAAGAGCCAAACTATGCACCATCCCTGGAGACGTCATCTTCAACCTCATTTAGCAAAGTCCTACAAGTTCAGAACTGAACAGAAAGATCAATAGGCAATCCTTGAATAGAAATAAACCTCAACTTCCAAATATTTTAAAAACAAATTTAATTAAAGTAAAATCTGTTTGTCTTTTTTTTTCACTTGAGGTTAACTTATAAATAGAGTAGCTTCCATAGAGAATTTAAAACTTTGATTTAGACTTAGTAATTTATGTGGGGGCACAAGGACCCCATATTTATTTTCCTAGGAAAATAAAAATAAGCATTTTTTGAAAGATATAGGTAAGTCTGTATTTCTTATGTGTGTAGTAGCTGACATTAAACAGGTTGGTTGAGGATTTTCAGCTATTACCATTTTTTAAAGGAGTTTAACAAACCCAAGTTGTCGAAGGCTTCAGAAATCTGTTAAGCATTTTTACATATTTTCCTTTAAGCTAAGAGTCCCCAGTTTCTGGCCCCTGTACCCCTTGGCTCTCAGTAAAACTTCCTATACCTCTTATTCAATATAAAAGGAAATAATTTCTAGAGTGTACCAAGACTACATACATTAGAATAACACTTCAACATTTGTAAAGTGCTTTTGAAATATTATCTCTTTTTTTCCCTGCACAACAATCCTGGGAGGGAGGTGTTATTATTATCCTTATTTTATAGATGAGGAAACTGAGGCAGGCAGAAGGTAATTGACTTGCCCAGGGTCACACAGGCTAGATTTGAACTCAAGTGTTCTTAAATACAGGTCCAACACTCTATCCACTGCGCAATCTAGCTACCTAAATAAAATAAACAAAATAAAAATATTAATTCATTTAAATAAGATAACATAGTTATTTATCAAATATTACTTGTAACTCTTGAACAGGTTTCTTTTAACCCTGGGAAAGGAACATTTTACCCCACATTAGAGATTGCTTTGTGCACATAGATCCCCACGAATTCATGGAATGCATGAAATTCTCATTTGAAGTAATTAAAATGAAAACTCAACCTGTCCTTTTCAAGACCACCAATCATTCTGTTTCTTTCAGGTTTTTATATGAATATTCAAGCAATTATGGGCAAGCTCCACTCCCCTTGTTGGTTAGTTACACAAAGAATTATCTGTCCATGGTAGGGACCTGCTGTACTTTGGCCAATCCCACAGCATGCTTTGTTTCGGAGGTAAGTCCTTCTTTGCATTGTTGCTTGTTTCAATGCTTTGATCAGAGCTCTCATGATTTTCCACATACGTGAATGGATTTCCTCACATAAGTATATATTTTCATTATGCATTACATGGTTTTCATATATGGTTCCCATCCCTAAAATGTGCATTCACACACACACACACACACACATACACACACACACACACACACACACACACACACACACACACACACACCCTTTTACCTATGCATTTCCTTGTGAATACAGTACATGTTTGCAGGAACAGATTCCAGGAATGGATCTCTAATCTTGACAGATTTCAGTGATAGCTTTCTGGGAGTCCAATGGAATGTAAACTCCTTGAAGGCAGAATTTTTTCATTTTAGTTCTTAACATTCCCAGCTTGCTACATAGTAGGCGCATAATAAATGCTTATTGTTGAGAGAATGAAGGAATAAAGATCTGGGTGTCAAACTTGCCTCCTTGAATAAGGAACTCTGGTTTTACTTGCTTATAACCCACTTGGGTATGAACATATGAGGGCATACATTATTTGTTAGATCTTCTCCTGGCCTTTATTTCAGGTCAATTTCTAGGTGTCTCTAATTGCCATCTTTCCTCCTACAATGACACCATTCTCTATGTTGTATCTCCTCTAGTAGATTGTAAGCTCCTTGAGGTCAAGGGATTGTCTTGTTCTTCATCTTTGTACACCCAGAGCCTAGCACCTCAAACATCTCAGGTGCTTAACAAATGTTTGTTGAATTGAGTTGAATCCAAAGTCAATACCACAGAGTAAATGTTTTCTATTTGAGAAATAGCTCATGGTGTTTACAGATAATATTTTCCACCTAATGAGACACTTCCCTCTAATGTTCTAGAGGCTTCAGAATAAGCATCTCTCACTACTCACCACAATGTCAAATAAGTCTGCTCACAATTTGCTGTCTATGGGACGAAGAAAACAAGATTCAGGTAAAAAACATTGTTGGTATGCTTGTCTTCAAATTACCATTCTCATTTCACTCTTCATTCTTTCATGCAAGCCCATCCAAGTTTTTCTAAGATCACTGAGCTCATCATTTCTTATAGCACAATAGTATTACACCACAATCATATTCCACAACTTGTTTAGCTATTCCTCAATTAATGGGCATCCCCTCAATTTCCAGTACTTTGACACCACAAAATGAGCTACAATAAATATTTTAAAACATATAGGTTCTTTTCCTTTTTCCCAAATCATCTTTGGAGGTAGACCTAGTAGTGGTACTGCTATGCACTGCAGTGAGGCTTAAATTCTCTGGAAGGGCAACAATCTTCAAACCTCACTTGTCCTGCCTCTGGCCCAGAATAGCGTGAAATTTCTCCCCAACCCACTAAATATTTGTACATCTTCTCAGTACACTGTGGCTCATCTGGTAAGGAGTCTTTCTCCACTAAGTTAGACTGGTCCTCACATGACAGGTGTACAGTTCATGAATGGGTCCAATCTCAGAGTCAAAAGTACCGGCTTGGAGATGGTGGGCGTCGTCTGCCTCTGCCCACCTATCTGGCTGAGGCACAGGCTTTGTGACTTCTCCCTCTATTCCCAGTGTGTCTATTTGCATTGACAGCCATTGTTGCCCAAGCCACAACTGTCTCAACTTCCTGCTGAAATTTCACCAATGGATCACCCCACACCTCTACAGTTGTGTAGTGGAAGAGACTCAAAACTGAAGTTTGAACTATTCAGAAGCCAGGCAGGCCTTGAGTGGGCATAGGGGTGACAGAGGTGGGGGCAGAGGGTGCCAGCCGAAATCCAAGCTTTCAAGCCCATTTGCTTTTAGGAACTTCAGCCCCTTCATTGCAGATGTTCATCTGTGAGCTAGCTGCAAAGGAAATTCATCTTTACCAAGCCAGGTGCAAATAACTCCCCATCTCAACCACCTAAAAACGGACAAAGAGCATCCTCATTTGGAGGCTCTTACAAATTTGTTTGATTCTATAAAGTGCACACTCAGTAAGTTCCCCTAAAGTATGAAAGATAGCCTCTCAGAATAGGCTCCATTAGACCATGTCCCAGAGATTCCTAAGATTTCTTTTGATACTTCTCCAGCAGCTACCTCGGCTCTGGGGTGGAGAGGGCCCACCCACAACCTGCTTGCTGAGAGACACCCTCCTCCTCCTCCTGGAGCATCTGGCCCTAAGCCAACATTCTCACTTCAAGTTGTTAGGAAAAGAGGCTCTTAAAATCACTGAAAATTTAACAAAAGAATGAGCACTTTTCCCTAAAATATCAAGAAAATAGGAGGAAGATACAGTAGAATTTTGCTTCTGTAGAATGGGTGTCTTATTCCTTTTTGCCTCTAAACTAATTTTTGCCATTGAGTGCAGATGAGGGCATACAATAACACTGAACATATACACAAAAAAGCTTAGGAGCCTAAATCTGGAAATGAAGAAAGGACCTGAGAGGTTACCTGAGCCAATGCCTTCATCTGACATATGAAGATAAGGCCCAGAAGATCACTCAAGGACCCAGTGTCAGAGCTTGGATTTGTACTCAGGTCACTTTATGGCCTACGAAGAAGGCCTGTTTCAGAAATGTAGACCTGAGCAGAATAGTAGTCTGGTTAGACTTGTAACCTGGAGATCTGCTCTGATCTAGCCCCCAGATAGTCATGGAGGGTCCTACCACCAGGAATCCTGATCCACAAGGGATTCCTGATGTGGTCACAGTCTCCCTCCCAGCCCCACCCTGTGGATCTGTTTGGAGCAAATAAAAACTCTGGGGATGGGGATGAGGGAAAATGGAAGGAACATAGGAGATAGGAATGTTCTGCTCATGGCGAAGTCTGCAGGATTTTAATCATTTTTAATCATTTTAATCATTTTTCAGTTATGTCTGACTCTTTGTGACCCCTTTTTGGGTTTTCTTGGCAAAGATACTAGAGTGGTTTGCCATTTCCTTCTCCAGTTCATTTTTACAGATGAGGAAACTGAGGCAAACAGAATTAAGTGGCTCGCTTAGGGTTACACAGCTAGTAAGTGTCTGAGGCCAGGAAGATAAGTCTTCCTGACTCCAGGACTGGTATTCTATCCACTACACCACCTAGCTCCCCAACACTCAGTGGGTAGCCCTTAAAAGGCCTGATACACTGGGCTAGAAACAATAATTGTATTATCTCCAAGTAGTGTAGCATATTATGCTATGCACTAGTAAATAAATATAGTTTGTTTAAATAGTATAGCAGTAAACAATTAAGAGTAAAGATATTTGTGTCTAAGAAAGTCACGATCTGTCCGTCTAGCTACATGTCAAGTTCTCCCAGAAAGTACCAACAGCTGATTTCGAAGACGTAGTCCAACTGGCTGAAGATATGACTGGGTCCTCTCTCAGTGCTGTCACTCCATCGCTGAGGACTGCATGGCCAACGAGGTAAGAGGAAATGAAATCGCTTTCATTAGTTGCTCTGCATTTGCATTTTCAATGGATATCTTACCTATTAGCTAATGAGCCAGCCGGCTTCCATCTCCCCCTCTGAATGTGTAGCCCTAGAGAAGGCACCGAGCATGCTCAGTTGCTCTAGGCAGCAGATTCAATCTAGAAGGTGCTGATCAGCATGGGTGGCTTGAGTTTCCTCATCTGAGAGTTCCCTACAGATAAGCTCAAGATCCTTATCTTTATTTTGCATAGTTCCCGGAGTCTGTTGGTATTAACCAACTCTCTAGAAGAAAAGAAAGGCTTGCAAGAGACACTTTCAAGTGTAATCTTCATTATTAACATTTTCTGCATCACTTCCCCACCCCCGGAGATGATCAACAAAGCAATAGATAAGCCCTGATTTGCTGATTTCCAAAGTGCAAATGCTGATGCTGACAATTAAGTGGCTGTCCCTCAGGAACCAGAGAGAGTTGATGCGAGCATACCACTGCATGAGTCTCTTCATTGGGAGCCTCCTTTCACTGGCAGTGCAGAAGTCAACAGGTCAAATGGAGTGTTTTAACATGAAGCTAACTTTGTCCCTTGCCTGACATACAGAGAGGTCCCAAAGGTCCTGCAGACTTCACCATGAGCAGAACATTGCTATCTCCTACGTTCCTTCCATTTTCCCTCATCCCCATCCCCAGAGTTTTTATTTGCTCCAAACAGATCCACAGGGTGGGGCTGGGAAGGAGACCGTGACCACATCAGGAATCCTTGTGGATCAGGATTCCTGGTGGTAGGACCCTCCATGACTATATCTGGGGGCTAGATCAGAGCAGATCTCCAGGTTACAAGTCTAACCAGACTCATATACCTCTATATTTTAGAGACACCTTCTTGATCTGAAAACTGGATTTAGGAGGCAGCATAGTGGAAGCATTGCTGAATTTGGGAATAGAGGACATTAGTTCGAATTCTTCTTCCCTGTAACCTTGGGCAAGTCATTAATCTTGCTGGGTCTTAATTTTCTCTTATATAAAATAAAAGGATAGGACCAAATGACCTCTAGAATCACTCCCAGCCCTTAATCTATGACCTATGATCTTGTGGCCTCAGACAAATGTCCTTGTACTACTCAGGGGCAGCTAGGTGGTACAGTGGATAGAGTGCTAGGCCTGGAGTCAGGAAGACTCATAGTCCTGAGTTCAAATCCAGCCTCAGACACTTACTAGCTGTGTGACCCTGGCCAAGTCACTTAACCCTGTTTGCCTCAATTTCCTCATCTGTAAAATGAGTTGGAGAAGGAAATGGCAAACCACTCCAGTAAAACCCCACATGGGATCACAAAGAGTCTGAAATGACTGAACAACAACAACTACTGAAGGGTAGAACTTGTGGCCCACATTTCCTCAACAATGCTTCAAGAAACAGAGAATTTATGAAATCATGGAGCTGGAAAGAATCTTTGAAATCATCTCATCTAATCTCCTTATTAGACAAATATTAAGTTCCAGAAAAGATAAATAACAGATTTGGTCAAAATCATACAGTTGGTTGTAGATCTAGGACTAGGGCCCAGTCATTCGACATCCTTCCTAGTTGTCTTTCCACTGTATAGTACTACCTAAGAGAAAAGCCAGACCACTTTCCCCCAGGGCCTGTCCCCCTCCCATCTCAGAGTACAAGAAAAAAAGTGAACACTTACCATTTCTTTTGTAGTTAGCAGAACACACTGTGAAGGTTTGTGAGAAGCTAGCCACCAAAGATAAGAGGTTCCAACATTGTTGTGGAGAAGGCAGCCCCATGGACATTTTCCTGTGCATTTATTCTATGCCAGCTGCCCAAACTCTCGAACTTCCAGAAATTGCCAAACCCCATAATGAAGAGATATGCAACACAGAAAATAATAAAGCGATAGACAGGTAAGTAGATTTTAAGTTTGTTTTCATCTTCAAGTGATAAATAAAAAAGGAAGAAGGGAAGGAAGGAAGGAAGGAAGGAAGGAAGGAAGGAAGGAAGGAAGGAAGGAAGGAAGGAAGGAAGGAAGGAAGGAAGGAAGGAAGGAAGGAAGGAAGAAGGGAAGGGAAGGAGAGAAAAAAAGAAAAAGGGAGGGAGGGAGGAAGGAAGGGAAGCAAGGAGAGAGAGAAAGAAGGAGGGAGGAAAAGAGGATGGAGAGATGGAGGAAGGAAGTCAATATCTACAATTTTTTGTTATAACTTTGTCGTGGTCTTTAGTCATAAGATTTAGCTCAAGTTCAAAGGCCTAAATCATTAAGGACAAAGATAGTCATTGGACTTCCAGCTAAAAGAGAATTTAGCAGACATAAAGTCCAACCCTCTCATTTTACAGATGAGAAAAGTGAGGCCCAGACAGGTAAAGTGACAGATTAAAAGTAGCAGAACCAAAATTCTAACTCCAGCTCTAAATGCAGTGTTCTTTCTAATGCACCATGATTGCCTCTTAAGCAAACAAATATTTAATTAAGTGCAACCAATCTGCAGCATATCTGTTTGCATCAGTATATTAAAATCTACTATTAGATGAAAGTGAATTGATAAGAGACGGAAGATATTATAATGAAAAAAACACTTTCTAGATGATCATTTTTAACATATTTGAAAGGAAGAGCTAGGATGAGTTTGCATCTGCTAAATGTAATAAAAATATGACTTAATTCCTGGGAATGCCTCAGACAGTATATCTGAATTTCAGAAATCTTTGACAATGTCCTTCACCATTTCCTTGTGGAAGAGAAATAGACATGGTTGGAATGATACCATTAGGTGAATTAGGAAGTTGTTGAATGATAGAAGAGGGTTTGGATTTGTGCTTTTGTTAGTATGAGGATGCCAAGTGAGAGAGAGAGGGGCATGGAGGAGAAGGCAGGCCTACAGCAGACTTGGTCAGTTGCTGTCAGGTTCAGCCCCTAGACAAGCCAAAGGGACATTCCAGCTACCCAGAGCAAAAAGAAGAGCCAGTATAGGGAAGCCATCTTAAGAATAAGGCTGACTACTGAAGGCAGAACTCCTCAACTGGAGGAAGAATCTAAGAAGATATTTTAATTCACCATTAGAAAATCACTTTTGCCCATATATGTTTATACTATATATATAATATACATATATATGTATATATGCATACATATGTTTGGCATATGTATATACCAAATATATAATATGTTTGTTGCATTGTAATTGTATTATCAATATAATGCACATATATTAAACATATTGTTGTTGAGTCATTTTTCAGTTGTGTCTGATTCTTCATGACCTCATTTGGGTTTTCTTGACAAAGATCCTGGAGTGCCTTGCCATTTCCTTCTCCAGTTAATTTTACAGATGCGAAAACTGAGGCAAACAGGGTTAAATGACTTGCCCAAGGTCACATACCTAGCAAGTATCTGAGGCTGGATTTGAACTCAAGTCTTTCTGACTCCAGGCTTGGCAATCTATCTACTGTGCTACCTAGCTGCTCTCCATAGTTAGTATGCATATGTAATATATATTATATAAACCTATTGGGTATATCTAATAAATGTAATAATGTCATATTATACATATAGAGTATGTATTAAAGAAACATTATATATCTAATCTAATAAATATAGCGCATCTTGCATATTGTACATGTTTATTAGATATACATAATATGTTTCTATATTTGATCTTGTGGTCTCTACCTATGATTTCATTGGTGAAGGAAACTTCTGCTGAGAAGACTCTTATTCCAATGGACATCATCAATGGTTGTGCAATTTCAAGTCTCAGAGCATTCCCTGGGACACTGAGAGCTGATCACACAGCCAGTATGTGTCCAAGGCAGGCCTTGAACCCAATCGTTTCTTGACTTGAGGCCAGTCTTCCATTCACATCACTATGCTGCCTTTTAATATGGATCTAGTAGTATCATTCTCTGTTTGTGTACCTGCAAACCATAGAAACCTGTTTATTCAGAATGCATGATTTATGGGGAAATGGATATTGAATGAATAAGGTTCTTATTTCCCAGTCTTTTTTTCCCAGAAACACCTTTAGTTATTTAACTGAGTGGGCAATAACCCTTGTTTTTGAGTTATAACCTCATTACAAATCAGTCTTTAGGGGTTAAAAAGGTTTTACAATGTGTGTCTGTCTGTCTGTCTGCATAGCAAGCTCTCATCTGTACATACAGATTCTAAAGATGGGTACATAGGGTACACACACACACACACACACACACACACACACACACACACAGAGCCTTTTTCTCTCCTTTTCTCTCCCACTACAGATACACATATGAACTAAGCAGGAGGAAAACCAACATTCCAGAAGTATTCATCACAAAATTACATGGCTTAATGCACAAAGTTTTGAGTGAATGTTGCAAAGTTGTGGAGCCAGAGGCTTGTCTACGTTCCCAGGTAAGGTTCCTCAGACTTTTTTTTTTTTGATGATTATTGGTCATAGACAGTGTAATCTAATTCATACACACTCAAAGCTAAAAAAAAAATCAACAAGCATTTATTAATTACCTACTAAGTGATTAATACCTTGAAGGTAATGGGGATTCAATGAAATTTATTGGGGAAAAGGGGTGACATGGTCAGACCTATGCCTTAGGAAAATGATTATGGCAACTAATGGGGCAAGAGTGGGGAGTCAAAGATGACACTGAGGTTAAGGGCCTGAGTGACCAGGAGAATAGTAACACCCTTCACAGCAGTAGGCAAATTCACATTGCCCAGTGTTTTAACACAAGCACATCCTTTCTGGAAATAACCTTTTCTTATTAATGTATTGCAGAGACCATTAGCAAGAAATGAAATGGTCTTATTCTTAGCCAAGGCAGAAGAACTCTGTGGTGATTACTCTCAACATACTTTTACTGAATACAAAAAGAGGTAAAGTATATATTTCAGGTAATGTTTTGGGAGATTGCTTACTAAGTAGTCTGAATTTTTAGTTCTAATAAGGTTGAAGAAAGAGAGAAAGAGAGAGAGAAAGAGAGAGAGAAGAGAGAGAGAAGAGAGAGAGAAAGAGAGAGAGAAAGAGAGAGAGAAAGAGAGAGAGAAAGAGAGAAAGAGAGAAAGAGAGAAAGAGAGAAAGAGAGAAAGAGAGAAAGAAAGAAAGAAAGAAAGAAAGAAAGAAAGAAAGAAAGAAAGAAAGAAAGAAAGAAAGAAAGAAAGAAGGGAGGAAGGGAGGGGGGAAGGAAGGAAGGAAGGAAGGAAGGAAGAAGGAAGGAAGGAAGGAAGGAAGGAAGGAAGGAAGGAAGGAAGGAAGGAAGAAGGAAGGAAGGAAGGAAGGAAGGAAGGAAGGAAGGAAGGAAGGAAGGAAGGAAGGAAGGAAGGAAGGAAAAAGGAAGGAAGGAAGGAAGAAGAAGGAAGGAAGGAAGGGAAGGAAGGAAGGAAGGAAGGAAGGAAGGAAGGAAAGAAGGAAGGAAGGAAGGAAGGAAGGAAAGAAGATAACCTGAGTAAGTACCAAGGAATGGAGAGCTCAATGGTCTCAATGAAGATGAACAGAGTTAGGAGGAGTGAGGCCTAGTTAGAATGCTAGGAGGTTATAGTCAGATAGAACACCAGAGTTCCTAATTAGGTAAGTAGTATACTTGTGGGTAATGGTAAGAGCCAGTGTATGACCAACCCATTGTGTTATAGAAGTGGAATGAAGGAAAAGGTCATAGAACTTAAGGATTCTGAAGAACTGATTCAGGTTAAGGAATGTAAGGGAGCTTTTATGTGGATATCGAAGTATCCTATTATGACGGCAGGAGTTGGGGAGAAGAGGAAGATGCTGAGCCAGATCCTGAACTCCTTGAGAAAAGAGGGAGAATAACCTAGGGTTCAGTATATTTCAGCCACCATTGTTTGGGTTAGGTGGGAAATTTTGAGGGAGTGAACTTTAAAAGAGGGAAAATTGCTGAATGAAAGAGATAACAGGAGAGCATGGAAGTAAGACTGAGGAATAAGGAGTATTCTGAGTCCTCCTCCAGGACTTTTGTGTTAGTGGATGTGAGAGAATGCTCAGATAGTGTTGTGTCTAATCATAGCTACAGGTCCCTTCATGAGAAGGGAATCAGATCTCCCTGAAAGCTGGTAGTTGGAAAGGCTATATATGGAATAGCTGAACAAACTGTGGCATAGGAATGTAATAGAATGTTACTGAGTCATAAGAAATTACAAAAGGAGTGAATTCAGAGAAACTAGGAAGACTTGTATGAACTGCTGCAGAGTGAAATAAGCAGAACCAGAAGAATAATTTACACAATGATTACAATAATGTAAAGAAAGACAATTTTGAAGAGCTTGATTACTCTGACCAGTGCAAAGACCAATTATGACTCATAGACTGATCAGGAAGCATGCTGCCCAACTGGAAAGAAAGGCGATGAACTTTAGGTGCTAAAAGAGACAAACGTTTTCAGATGTGGTCAATGTGAATTTTTTTTTCTTTGCTTAATTATACCTATTTGTTACAGGGGAAGGTTTTTATTTTGATAGTAGGAAGTTTTGTGGTTGGAGAGGATAGGTAATGACTTAAGAAAAAATTAAAACCCAAAGAAAAACATTTTTAAAAAATACAAAGAAGACAACAGAAGGAAGTTCAGAGGAGACACAGAAAATGAGTTAACAAGCATGTATTAATTGCCTTCAATGTGTCAGGCATTGTGCTAAGCCCTGGGCATTGTTGGTGTTAAATTTAATAAATACTTTAAAGAAACAGGCTGTATTTTATATATATATATATATATATACACATATACACACACACACATACACATACACACGCATATATATGTATGTATATATACGTGTGTGTGTATGTGTGTGTGTGTGTGTGTGTGTGTGTGTGTGTATGTATCACATGTATGTTCTTTTTTCTTTCCAGGTTGACAGAGCACTTTAAGACTAAATTTCCTGAAGCTAAATCCCAAAGTATTACAGAGATGGTTGAAAATCAGGCTGACTTTGCCTCCAAGTGCTGTCTGATGAATTCACCTCCCCTATACTGTGATACACAGGTAAGGGCATTTAACTCTTCCATTCATTACCTCAGTGCCTAAGGCCTTGATTTTCTTTGGATTACCCTGTCTTTTCTGCATGATTGCTTTGTGTTCATGACATCATCTTTCCAGGAGTCTTTATAGGTCTGCTTTATTTAAGACTCACCCTAGAATGCAAATTAATAAATATGTGATGACAGAAGATCACTCACATTAGGATGAAATTTTACGTATTTGTCGATATGAAAGTGCACAACAATAAAGGGTACTCATTTTGGGCAGCTCATATTCTTGGTAATAATTCAAGTTCATTTTCATTTTTCTAAAGTGGGTACTAGGCCAAGTAAGTTTGGGAACCTCTGTTAAGGACCTACCTTAGTGACAACACAAGGTTGAGAGTAACATCTTTTTAAATACCATGGACAGCTCACAAAGGCTCTTTTGTGAATTTCCATCTAGAAAAGAAGCATTCTCATAAGAACTGGGCTTTGGGCACTTGGGGTTTTGGGTCTGTTTTGTTTATCACTTAATATTAGGCCTGGAATCCTATATCCAAGATTTCCATGGTTCAAAATTTTGGGTCCAGGGACTCCACTACCTGCAGTTAGTACTAAAAGTACAAATGAAACAAATCAGAACTGCAGCCCCACTTCTCGGTGCCACCAGGCCTATGGCATGGGGGAAGTGAGCCTTTCCCCTCCATCCCATAGTTCCGTGCATAGTGCCTGTGCTATGGGTCAAACAGAACCTTCACTCCCTACATGCAGCTGAAAAGAATGAAACTGTCTCAGTCTAGTAGTTCTAAAACTGCAGCTTGTACCAGCTATAGCCAGTGGAAAGGTGCTGTTTTCTCTCAAAAGTAGGTCTCTGCATAGGTCTCTGCCCTGTCCCACAGAGATACTTTCCATCTAAGGTGATCTGGGTACGTACAAAGGCTCTATTACATTTTATGATATGCAAAATACTGTCAGTTGTTAATATTATTGCATAACTAAGTATCCTATAAATTAAATTAACTATATTTTTGTGCTTTATTTTCAGATTGATGCTGAAACTAAAAGCTTCTGTGGCCATGATTCATGTCTGTTGAATGTGGTATGTATGGAAATGGAAATAGGTGACATCAGTTATCAGAGCTGTATTTGATAATTAAGTGTCAGAGAATTGTATAGCTAGAAGGAACCATTGAGATCATAGTCTAACCTAACCCTCAGTTATTGGTTGAGGAAACTGAGACCCAGAGAGGTTAACCCAAGAGTTGTTCAATTGTTTCAGCCATTTCCAACTCTCCATGACCCCATTTGGGGTTTTCTTGGCAAAGACAGTGGAGTGGTTTGCCATTTCCTTCTCCAGCTCATTGTACAGATGAGGAAACTGAGGCAAACAGGGTTAAGTGACTTTCCCAGAGTCACCCAGATAGTAAGTGTCTGAGGCCAGATTTGAACTCAGAAGGATGAGTCTTCCTGACTCTAGGCCTGGCACTCTATCCACTGCATCACTTAGCTGCCCACACAGCTAATTAGTGGCAGATCTGGGACTGCCTCATTCCCAGTTTTAGGTATAGAGGAAGTAGCAAACGCACACAGAGCCAGAAGCTCCCTTCTCTGTCCCTTATTGGCCATGTAACCTCAGTATATAGTACATAAAATCTTATTAACTGACTAACATTATGTTATCTTTAAGGGCAAGATTTAAATCCATTCAAATGGGATCAAAAGTAGAATGTTTATTTAGCTGGACAACAAGACAGCTGGAATGTACAGAGGGAATAATTGGCTGATAAGCCAAACCATCACTGTTATAGTATCATCTGTTTCTGACCCTTGATAAAGATCTTAATTGTATGAAAGGAATGTAAGAATAATATCACAAAAATGAATTCACATGCATGTGTATACACACATGCACACTTACACATATACAAGAAGCTCTGAAAATTGGACCTAATTTTCCTCATTCAATTCAAAGGTTGACTTTGGATAAGTCATTTTCCTCTTTGAGACTCAGTTTCCTCATTTTCCTCATTCCTCAGAAGTCCTCATTCCTTACAATGGGGGGTTGTATTAAATACTTTATAGTCTCTTAGAACTCTAATGCTATATAACCTTATGCTAATCATGTGCATTTTCCTTTGTGAAATAACTTTTGTGAAAAAAAACTTAGTATCATTAAATATAAAATTAAGTAATTAGATAATTAATTAGATTAACTAATTAGATAATGTATTTAATAAAGAAAGAAAATAATAGGCATAGGTCCTGCTCTGTATTCTAATTAGAGGAAAGATTTTTTTGATGATGTCCACTTTCATTTTGCTAACTCATTAGTTTGCCAGGAATGTGGAAATAAAAAGTGATTCAATCTTCTGACATTTTAAATTGTTTCAATCTATTCAGCATTTAACCCCATTCTACTACTTGAATACTCTAACACAGTAAAGCAAAACTGTTTTAAGGAGTATTTGTTATCAGGAATGCTTTTGCGACTATGAACAAAAATCATATATCATAGGCATTGGCCTGGTAGATAGAGTGAGTATGGGACTTAAAGTTCAAATCTGACCTCAGATATTACTAGCTGCATGACCTCAGGCATGTTACTGTTTACCTTAGCTTTCCCATTTGTAAAAATGGAGATAATAATAGCATGTGCCTCCCTGGATTGATGTGAGGATAAAATGAAATATCTGTGAAGTGTTTTGCAAACTTCAAACCATTAAATAAGTGCTACCTTTTAATATTATTAATCAAAATCTAGCTTTGTGCTTTTGTCACATAGGCATTACATTCTACAAAGCAAATGATCCCATCTCTTTGAAGGCCCTCTGATCCAAATATGAAAATTTCAGGAAATTAGAAGTATGTAGTGATGAAATATCTCACCTACAACTTTTACCCTGTCCCTAGATTCCTGTTAAAAAACCAAACAAATAAAAAAACAAAAAACCTTCCACTCACACATGGACATCTGCAAGAGGAAAAAAAGTATTTATATAGTACCTACCATATATGCCAAATATTTTACAAGTATTATTATTTCATTTGATCCTCAAAATAACTCTGGGATATAGGTGCTATTATTACCCCCATATCATAGTTGAGGAAATATTGACATATAGAGGTTAAATGATTTGTCCAGGGTCTCACAGCTAGTAAGTGTCTGAGGCTGGATTCAAACTCAGCTCTCCCTGACTCCTGGGCTAAAACTCATCCATTTGTCATCTGGATGATTACACTTCCTTAGAGCCAATGTTTTATGTATTTTTAAAATTCTGGATGTAACAAAAAAAAACAAAGAAAATGGGAATTTCTGTATACATCAGAGAATAGAAAGGATCATTGATAAAACGTTTTTATTATGTACCTTATTTTTCTTTTTAAATATAATTAATTCAAATATATTAACATTAATATCAAATATAATGATAGTGACATATGTAAATGACAAATATATCTATTACTTCATGTCACTGCTCCTAATATTAATATAACGCTACTTGATATAATCTTATTGATTGTAATAAATTTCACATAGAACTTTCAAAGCTATCTATCTTGCATGTGATTCTTTCTGGCTTTCCTTCCATTCTGTGCCATTAAAAATGCTCCAATGATCCCCTCTTCTTTCTTTATCTTTTTTTTTTTTGTTACTCTAGCCCTGGCTCCTTTGCTCACTACAACTCACCCCAAATTGGAAAAAAAAATCCTCGCTATCAATCTGCATAATCAAGTAAAACAAATTCCCTCATTAGCCACATTTAAACATTGATATCTTATTCTGAATCTTGATTCCATCACTTCTGGCATGTTTCTTCATCAGTCCTTTGGCATGCTGTACGATCATTGAACTAATCATAGGTCTTAAGTATTTCCAAGTTGTATATTTTATTTTTTTAATTTTGTTTATTTATTTTTAATTTATGAAATAAAACAAGCATTTCCATAACATAGTAGAATTAATTAAAAAATGATTATACATGAAACTGCAAATCTATTATGTACAGTTGCATGTTTTAATAATGTGATTGTTATATGTAATGTTTATTATGTTATATAAATTAATCTCCCAATTCTGCTCACTCCATTCTGCATTAGCTCATAATAGTCTTCCCAGAATTCCTTAAAACCATGCCTTCCATCATTTTGTGGTCCATTAATATTTGCTTACATTTACATACCATAATTTGTCCTGGAATTCCCCAATCAATTGGGTGCCCACTTCTTTCTAGCTCATTATGTATGAAAAAGAGTTGCTATAAATATTTGTGTACATATGGATCCTTTTCTTCTTTCTTTGACCTCTTTGGAATAGAAGCCTAGTCATGGTATTACATGATCATGTGTGCACAATTTAGTGACTTTGGGGGCATAGAAGCAGCATGCTTTTCAGAATCACTGGGCCAATTAACAGTTCCACTAACATTGCAGTAGCAGGCCTATTTTACCACAACCTCTCAGACAATTGTCATTTGCTTTTTAAATCATCTTTGTTTTCTGACATGGGTGAGATGGAACCTTAGAGTTGTTTGAACTTGCAAGTCTGTTATTAATGAATTACAGCTTTTTTTTTCCTGTGGCTATAGATAACTTTGAATTTCTGTATTTGAAAACAGCTTATTCATGTCTCTTGAACATTTATATATTGGGGAATGGCTCTTGTCACAAATTTTAATCAGTTCCTTATACATTTTGGATGTGTGGGCTTTGTCAGAGAAACTTGCTACCAAAATTATTTCTCATTTTCCTGTTTCCCTCTAGTTTTAGCTACATTGGTTTTGCTTGTGCAAAAATGTAATTTTTATGATGAAAATTGCATATTTTACCTTCTTTTATCCTCTCTTCTCTCATTTGGTCATGAACTCTTCCCCTAAAGTTGCGAAAGTTATTTTTCTTCCTTACTCCTATAATTTGTTATGATTTAGCCTTTTATACCTAAATATTGTATTCTTTGGAACTTATTTTGCATCTCTTGTGAGATGTTGGTCTATATCTAATTTCTAATAGATTGTTTTTCATTGTCCTCAAAAGTTTTTGTCAAATAGTCCTCATCTGAATAGCTGGGGTCTTTTGATACACAGAATACTATTCTGTTAGGTTTGATTGCTTTTGTATGTTGGGTGATTAATCCATTACACTCATTTGACTTCTCTGTTTTTTAGTCACCGCCATGTAGTTTTGATGATTTCATTCATTCATATTGGTCTGATCAGCCACAATCAGACACACTATAACTTGATTCTATCATAGCATTTTGGTCTTTTTCAAGAGCACAGGACAATAACCACTCTTTAATATAGTTTGAGATCTGCCAGGTCCTCTTCTCAATTTTCCCCCTTTTATTCCCATTAAATTTCTTGAACTTTCATTACCTTAGGTGAATTTTTAATTTTATTTTTATTATTTTTTCTGGCTTTATAAAGTAATCCCTTTCATAGGTTGATTGATATGGCTCTAAGTGAATTAATTTAGGTAGAACCATCATTTGCATTACATTAGCATTGGCTGCTTTTGAGCAAATAATATTTTTCCACTTACTTAGGTCTGTCTTTATTTCTGTAAAGAATGTTTTGTAGTTACATTCGTATAATTCCTATGCGTGGCTTTGTGGAGAGAGACCCCCCCAGTATTTTACACATTCTGTAATTAGTTTGAATGGAACTTCTCTCTCCTTCTTACTGGGTTTTGTTGGTAATATATAGAAACCCTGATGATGTTTGTAAATTTATCTTGTATCCAGAAACTTAGCTGAGGTTTCTGAGTCCATTTATCTCTCTACTTTCTAGTGTTGCTGTTGTTTTTCAACAGAAACAGGTGTGAATTTTTTTCAAAAGCAGTTTTTGCTTCTATTGACATAATCGTGATGTCTTTTACATAGTAATTCCCTATTTTTACCTTGTTTCTGATTTCTCTGTGCAAAAGAAAGACCTTTACACTGGAAATGACAAAAATGAATGACTAACAGGGAGATGATATCCAAGATAAAGAGATAGTAAAAGAGTAAGTGGCACAGTGGTTAGAATGCTGAGCCTGAAGTCAGGAAGACTCATCTTCCTGAGTTCAAATCTGGCATCAGACATTTACTTACTATGTGACCCTGGGCAACCTGGTTTGCCCCGGTTTCCTCATATGTAAAATGATCTGAAGAAGGAAATGGCAAACTACACCAATATCTCCGCCAGGAAAACCCCAAATGGGGTCATGAAGAGTCAGATGTGACTGAGAATTAGTAACTAAACAACAAGAGATATATAGCTGCCCTTGGTGAATTTAAGTCATCTGACCCAGGTGAACATCATCCTACGGTCCTGAAAGAAATGGTAGATCTGACAGCTGAGCTACTGCCATTGATACTGAAAAAGCAAGGAGAAGAGGAGAGGTAGCTCAAGATTGGAGAAAGGCAAGTGTCTCAATTTTCAAAAACAGAATGAGAATATAGTCTGCAAACCATATGCCAGTGAGCTTGACCTCAATTTATGGGGAAAATTCCTTGGCTTCAGCAAGAACAGGTCATGTCAGACCAAGTTTATGTCTTTCTTTAAGATATTTTTTACATGCTTTGTTTTTACATTACAAACATTTCTAGATTCCTCCCCCACTCCACTCTGATAGTTCTAATGTTTAAGTAAAACTATCACATCAATGCCTACAACATTTCACATCCACAACATTATGCCCTGCCTCTCTAACTTTCAGTATTTCTTAAAATTATCAGAAATCTATCTTCCCTTCCCCCACCCTCCATCCCATTAAAAAAAAAAGTGAGAGAGAAAAGGGAAAAAATGCAATAAATATTCATTTCCAAGCAAAAGAAATTCCCTCATGGATTGTATGATAGATAGATATGTCTATATCTGTATTTATATCTATATGTATATAACATATGTCTATATCTACAAATATAGACATATACATATCTTTACACATATCTATAGATGTTGACAGATGTGTATATATATATATATATATATATAAAACACATGTCTATATCTATATAGATAGACATATACATCTCACTCCCTCTCCTACATGTGTGTATACACACATCCATACATGTGTGTGTGTGTGTGTGTGTGTGTGTATGAAATTCTGCCCTCTAAATCCATCACGTCTCTGTAGGAAACCGCTAGCATCTTTTTTCACTGGTCCTCTGAATGGTCATTATGTATATCACAGCTCTTAGAGCTTTCAAAGTTGCTTGTCATCAGAGTGTTTGTCTTATTATTGTATGAATTGTTCTGGTCCTGCTCATTTCATTCATCAGTTTCCACAAGTCTTCAAAGTTGTTCATTTTTATAACATGGATGTCACCATTTAAATTATTCTTTGGAATCTGTTCCCTTTAATCTGTACCAATTCATATGACTCTTTCTATGTCTCTTTGAAACCATCTATTTCCTTATTTCTTTTAACACGCATATTCCAAAATATTCACATGCTACAATCATTTTCATAATTGCAAAAATCAGTTTCTGTGCAGCAATTGAAATCTCTCTTCTCATGCTAGGTTTTAAAATCTGATCATGAAATCTATGAATGTGTTTGTGTGCAAATGAAGGACATTTTATTTTATCATGTAACAATTGGGTTAGGCATGGGGTCCTTTCTCGTCTTAGTTGGATTGCCATAATTCCACCGTGAAGATATTCAGGTGCTGGCCTTAGAGTGCTGAAACTCACGAAAATTTCCTGAGCAGAACTATCAGTATATGCGCCCATTTGTAAAATTTTTCTTTCTTTTGTTCCATTAGGAACCCGTAGTATGAGTGACCCCTGGAGGCCTGAATTGCTAAGCTTTTTGAAGAAACATAGAATCAACTCTCCTCCATCCTACAGAGTATTTTCCCCAGAACTGCAGAAATACAATGCATATGCAAATAAAAGCAACTGATGTGGAGTGAATATCAAAGAAATTCTATAAAAAGTGCTGTCAAACCAATGGCCTGGGATATCATTTATTCTTTTGCTACACAGAGATGCTGATGCACAAGGTCCTGTCCTAAGGATATGAGTTCTTTGAAGGCCAGGCGTTTTCATTTTTGCTCTTGTATCCCCAGAACCTATGAGGTTCTAGCCCATAGTATGTGTTTAATAAAGGTTTATTGATTAATTGATAAAAAGTTCCTGCCCCTTTCAAAAACTGTAGTTTGTCTTTAAAATGAATGAAGAAAAAACATTGATTTAGTACTTACATGTACCAAGCACTGGGCTTAGTCCTGAGAATCCAAATAGAAAAGTAAGATAGTTTCTTGCTCTCAAGGAGCTCACATTCTGCTAAGGGAGATAACATATTCAGAAAGGTACAGCTACTGGGGGATGTCCCTAGGGCATGGCCACAGGGTGGATGGGAGAATAAGAACACATCGGTTCAGAGATAACTCGGTGGTATGGTGGATAGAAACAGCTAAGAGATACAGCAGGAAGGAAACTTTGGAGTCAGCAAGATCTGAGTTCAAATGCAGCCTCAGATACTTGCTGTGGGATCCTGGGAAGTCAAAACATCATTTAGCATCAATTTCTTGATCTGTAAAATGAGGAAGTTGGGACTCAGTAACCTCTAAGATCTCTTCTAGCTACGACTTTGTGACTCTTCTTCAAATTTGCCTTCAATGTTTCCACCCACCAGGCACCAAAGAGGTACCAAAGTTGAACTTCTCGGTATTGACCCTTGCACTGGAAAAGTAAGTGCCTCTTTGATGCTCACTGACTGAACTATTGTCTCTCTTCTTCAAAGTTTTTTTGTAGAAGACATGGAGAATCTAGATGTCTAGATACTGAGCTCCAACTCACTGCTTGCTATACTCAGTTAGTATTTTGATTAAGGTGGAGTTGGTCCAAATCAAACTGAGACACATATAGAAAGCCACAGAGTCCCCCTTCCTAGCGTTGTCCGTTAGGTCTTTAAGGAATTCCAAGCTCAAAACAATAAAATCCAAGCATGAATAGTCTTCACTCATTCTAAGAAATCTAGCCTCTACAGAGTCTGTGGGGTTATATCCTCTATCTTTTCATCAGAAAATGACTAGAATGTAATTTTCATTTGGCATCCGATGTCCAGTATAACAGGACATTTTTAAATCCTCCTCATCATTATTTGAAGAAGTCTAAGTAAAAAGAACCCACGGAACTTTGTTGTTCCTAGGGTTACAGTTTTCAGGTCCCAGGATGGCTTCCCAGTGGTGAGGTCAAAAGCCCACTGGACTTGGAGTAAGAGGTTCTAAGTTCACATTCTAGCCGTGCAATCCTGGGTGAAGCACTAACCTCTTTGGGCCTCTGTTTCTTCATCTATAAGTTAATAATAATCAGTTAACAAACATTTATTAAGCACTTTCTATTTACCAGGTACTATGCTAGATTCTGGGAATACAGATACAACAAATGAAATGGTCCCTGCCCTCAAGCAGCTTACAATCAAACAATACTCAGACTCCTGCCTCCTTTGACATGCTATTCCAATATCTTTTCCTAGCTTGAGGATTTGTCAAAAGCTATACCTAAGCTGCCCAAGCTTGGGCAGGCCCTACCAATTTCCAAAGACTAATAATATGAGCCTGGTGATGGTCCATAGGCCTGGTGCCTATTGTCCAAGGACAAATCTCACTACGCTTAGACAGGCTGACCATGCAGCAACTCACAAAAACCTTTTTCTTGGATTTCAGAGGCATGATCTGTATTAGTAGAAGCAATACTTATACCAACACAATAAAGAAATCACAAGTCTTGGAAGTTTTAAAGCACCTTCCTCACAAGACTATGCTGAATAAAGTACCTTGTAATTTTTCAATACTTCAATGGATCCAGGATCTTCCTGAGGTAACTTGGCACAGATTACAATCCACCCACACCTTCTCATCCTGTGTAACTCTTATCTATATCCACTGATGAATTTTCCACGAGGGATTCACTAAGTGAGCTGAGTGCTCTCCTCCAAGTTGCTTCACATTATATGGGTATATTAAGAATGTATTAATAATAATGGCTATCCATTATCCCTTAGCTCTGAATGCAGTTATTATCTTGCTATAATGTGTGTAAGGCCAGCTAAGTGGGGCAGTGGGTAGTTCCAGGGTTGGAGTCAAGAAGACCCAATTTTGAATCTGGTCTCAGATACTTAACTAGCTCTGTGACCCTGGCCAAGTCACTTAACCCTGTTTGCCTCAGTTTCCTCATCTGCAAAATGATCTGGAGAAGGAAATGGCAAACAACTCCAGCATCTTTGCCAAGAAAACCCTAAACGGGCTCACAAAGGGTCTGAAATGACTAAACAACAAAAATGTATGCCCAAGATCTACGTGCACCAGTGAACTTTCTCTATTGGCTATCCATCCACATTCATGTCATAAACATTAAAAATTATATTTAAGTATAGATCATTATTCTTACTCTGAGTCATACACAAAGTCATTTGGGAAGCTGGGACCAGAATGCTCAAACTCTGAACATAAACTTTTACTTTGGAAAAAAAAAAGGCATTCATGGAGAGATCCTCTTGGTACATGGATTTCTTAGTGTCTCAGCAAGAGACAAGACCTTGAGAATCTTGGTAAGCACCACATACAGGAAGAGAGTGGACAGTGTGGGATACACATAAGGAAAGAATTCTGGGGAGAGTCTGGGTCATGTTGAGTGGGAATTGTGACAAAGGCCACCATGATGACGGCAGCCTTTGGAATTTGCACAGAACAGAAAAGCATGCTGGGAGTGGGAGTGGTAAAAAGCTTCCTGATCACAACCTCATTCAGCTACTTTTCAGTTCAAGGAAGGAGAGATCTGGGGATATTTGTCCAGCTGCAGGACAGAGACAGAGAGTAGTAATGACAAGACCTAAGATGCAAAATGGATTTCTGAACCATTAGATAATAGCTGAACTGGGAAATCTGGAAAAACCAACAAAGGACAGACCTATTAATAGAAGACTTCTAAGGACAAGCCTAATCTTAGTCTAAGACTTGGTTCAGCCTGCTGAAGAAAGGTTTCTTAAGAACTGACTGTGTAGATTGACTGAGGAGACTTGTAGCATTTCTCTGCAGAGAGAGGCTTACCAATTTTACATCACTCCTAGTACATGGAAGACTGAGTCTTGGCAGAGGACCATAGCTGAGGGACAGTAGGAAGCTAAAATCTGAATTCAAAGACTAGAGGAGCAGGCTGAAAAGGGCTTGTTAACAACTTCCCAAGAAATGGCAGAGGTGGCTGAAAGAGCTGGTTAAGAGAGCTGTAACCTTCCCCAATCACTAAACAGAATACCTAGTGGATGATGGAGAGAGATTTGAGTAACTGTGAAGACAGCTGAAGATGCATGAGATAAGACAGTGGAGGGCAAAACGTAAGTAATAGTAATTGCTAGCATCTGTTATAGCACTCAGGTTTGCAAAGCACTTCACAAATATTATCTTATTTGGCTCTCACAATGACCCCATGGGATAGGTGGGATTATTATTTCCATTTTGTAGATGAGGAAGCTGAGGCAGACAGAGGTTTAGACAACTTGCCCAGGGTCACACATTAAGAAAGTATCTGAGGCAGGATTTGAATTCAGGTCTTTTTGACTCCAAGTCCAACATTCTATCCATTGCATCCCTCCGTGGTATCCCCCAATACGAAGTGGAAAGTAGGTCCATAGCAAGACATTACCAGACACTGGCTACTTTGTAGCATTGGAAGTGGGAACTGACCTCTGCATTGGAGTGCCCTAATCTTCCATGTTCTTTATTTATTATTCATGTTCTTCATACAATTACCCTGACCAGGCATGTTTCTTATGTGTGCATACCCCACACATGATTCCTATGCTGATCCATTCTTCCCATTGAGGACGTATTTATTTGTGGGAAAATGAGCTTAAGATCTATGGGGATAGTGCTTTGTTATCATTATATTAGTACATTATTTCCTTAAGTACTTTTTTGTGAACTAAATGTGTCTTCCAGTTGACTAGTAAAAGTAAACACATTGGTGAAGGCTCATGATCTGGAGTTGAGAGATGATTTTGACTTATAAAGTATGACCTATAAAGTATCCCTAAACTGGGATGGCTACCTGGTAGCTAGTTTCCTGAATAAGGTGGAGATTCTCAAGTATCACATTTTTAGCCTCTTGTATTTTTCCCTTTTCAAAAGGCTCATATTTAACTCCAGGCATAAATCAGTATGGAAACTGATCATGATTTGCAGAATGAGCTGGTTTTCTTTAAAATGAAATAATTATTCTCTGGCAAAGTTATTCTCATCTAAACAATGACCACTGCCTGCTCTTAATGAGATTCCCAGAAAAAGCAGTATCACTTTCCAGAAGCACCATTTAATTTCAAAAGCACCTTCAACATGCTGAACTTTTGTTACATCAGCCAATTTCCATTTGGCAATCCTGTTGAGAAACAAGAACTTCTAGCTGCACAGATTATACACAGGAGGCTTGATTCACTTCCACATTATCCAAATGTAGATAAAGAAATAAAAATAGAAATCTTTGTTGAAGATCTTTCTTCTTAAACACTCACAACAAACATTATAGTAGATATCTATGTGTGAGTGAAGAGATTTTTAGCAGAAATAGGGAAAGGGTAAAATTTGAAGGTCTCCTAAGATACTCATGACCCTCTAGCATTGAAAAAATTTAAGCCAATAGCCTTCCCATGTTTTCCCACTATAAGTAAATAGATAGGCAGTCAGATATAGGCACTTTTAATTCAAACAGGCTAAATTGAAAGAGAAGATAGACACTGACATCTAGTGGTAGAAAAGGGATAACACGCACCACATTATTCATAGTTCCCGATCTCACCTTTCCATGAAGAAAAAAATTAGTGGCCTTAACTTTCACTGATTCTGCCAAAACCTTCAATACTAGATGGTGACAGCCTAAGAAAGTGAAGTTGGAAGTTTCCCAATGGAGATTATAAAAGACACTGAGTTCCTTATTCCTGTGGCTGTCTAGCCC